AATCGAGAGAGAATATCAACACGCTGAAAACAATCACCACAAGTAAGCAGGTATAAAACGATATGGAAAATTTTTCGTTTAGCACCAACGTAGCCTCAGAAAGGACTTTCAAGACTCTCCTCCATAGCATATCGTGCACTTGAAAAGCAAACAAGAACAATCATTGATGGACTTACAATATCTCTAAGCATTCCACGGAATGTCTCTGACAGGGTGTCGTCTTCAATGCACTTCCGAAGGAGAACCAGGGATCGCTCATACCTGAAACGCAGAAATCAGAAAAAAGGATTGACGTTGCAAAAAAGAAATATCGATGGGTAGATTCCTATAAGTAGAATAATTACGGCTACCCTGGAGTGGTGTCATATTTCTATCAAACCTGGACCAAACTATGCTGCGCCATAACGAGAGCTAGGTTGCTGGAAGGCCAATTCGCAGCAAGACTTGTCCGGCTTTTCTTTCGTCCGTACCCTTCTACTAATAGCCCGTGGGCGTGAAGACCCCCTCCAACAGCCTCAGAAAACGCCGACGAACAGAATAGGTGCAGCCTGGTCATGTTCACTTATCTCCACCAGAACCCTCCTGACCACTCCTTTACTAACGTCATCGCTAAGCTTTGATCGTAGAAGCGGAGACACCCAAGCGTCTGATGGTGTGGGCAGCGACACCTTCTTCAATGGTGTATCCCTCTTATTCATCCCCAAAGAATCCTAACCCCCCTGCAGTAAGAATCCTACCATTTACCATCCCCCCCCCCATGCTGCTTTTTCGACGAAAGCTCGCTGAAGTTGGCAGAGCAATTCATTTGAAATTTTTTTAATTCATTCGCAATCAGGGCACGTCGTACGCTGGGAACTGTCAGCAAGGGGGTCGTATTTAGTCGCTGGAGGGATGAGGGTTGTATTCCTTTCGAGAAAAATGATTTCAGCTGATGACTTTTCTTGGCTTTCCTGTTTCAGTGTCGTTATACGCCCCACCGCTCCTTGCTCGACACTTTCTTTGGGAAAAAGTGGACAATTTTCGGAGAAAAAAACTTCGAAAAAGTGGTAGGAAATTGGAGAAATTCAAGAAGATGGACAGTTGTATTTGAAAGGGAGCCTCTTACGAGAGGGGTGAAATTTTGAGGGAGAGGATTTTGCAGAAAGTTCCTCCAAGACAAGACATGCTCCATTTGCAATTTCCACAGCCGTATAATAACCTGATATCCATAATTTTTGATAATGACCCTCACCTTGCTGCAGCTATCTCGGCAATGGCGGCTAAGAATGGCATCTCGATATGATAGACGCGGCGAGCCCAAGCTGACAAGCCATGAACAGCTTGTTCTACACCCAACTCAGCCATAGCTCGTGCCATCCAGCATAGTATTGCCATGGA